TGACAATTCACTTTGGATAATGCATGATTTCATTTCATAGACCTTTATTCAACATTATTTTATCTTTTCTATAGAGTTACTTACATATTTTATCCCTATGGTTTGCATTTTGTTACAAAATAGGCCCCTAAAATAAAACCTATGGATTTGGGATTTATGATTTGTATTTTGTTATGGATTGGGTCATACCCTTTAATGGAATAATTTTTTTTTTGTTAACTCAAGTTAATTTAAAGGGTATTTTAGTTTGTTATTATTTTTTCTCTCTATGATATTAACAAATCACTGTCTTCAAATGAATGTCCACGGTAAAAAATACATATTCTATTATGAATATGAAATTATTACATTTTTTAATTAACTAAAGAACAGTTTTCGCGTAAAAATAGATAGATAATTAATGATAAAGTAAACACTTATTTTTGAAAGTAGACACTTATTTCAAGACAAACTAGAACAGAAACGTGGATACTTATTCAGCGACGGATAGAGTATTGCACATGGTCGTTGAACCGTCCCTTTTTCGGAAACACTGACATCCCCTTCCATCACAACTTATCATCAGTCTCATAAACTGCTCCAACGACCTCTTCCTTTCTACCACAAACCCCTCTCTTGTTAGCCAAGGTTCACCCTGTTATAATCTTCAACCTCTATTATTTGTTTTTGTGCGACTCCCAAACTAGGTTGAGAGTCATTGGAACGCTTCTTGGATCCATTCTCCCTGATGGCACCATAGATGTTCGTAAGTTGTATGCCATTCATCATACTGAATCGTTTGATGATTGATGTTATTTTGCTTACGGTTAGGGTATAAATGTAACTGTTGAATTACGAAAAAGGAATAATGCCAAGCATCAAGGTTTCAATTTTTAGGCGTCATCGTCCTATAAAATCAAATTTGTTACAGTGAAGGTCTTGTACTTGTTTTAAGAATAAAAGAGAGATGACAACAGGTTTTGTAGATATTTGTGTAGGAGGGTGGTACAAACTTAATTAATATCTATAACAATCAGTTGGTAATATCATACCAAGTATACAGACTTGGTTGGAACGTACACAGTATTGGAAGTCACATACCATGGAACCGCCTTATTTAATTATTTATTAGTAATTGAATATTTTATGTATTAAATATTAACTTTGTAACTTTAATTATTTAGTACATAACATTTACACGTGTATAAAACCAAAAAAAGTTTCAATTACTTGTATGCATATGTATATATCATCCAGATGAATGGTTATCATGATGCTTTTCAGAATTTGAAAAAATAATTTATTGATGATTTAAGTATATGATAATTCAATTGAAGTTAAAACGAAATTTTGTTTTGTAAGGTAAGAAAATAATAAGGGGGTTTAATGTATGTATTACAATAGTTAAGGGGGTAGAGTGTAAAATAGACGTAATCATACCAGCAAATGACTTTTTACACATGGCAATGAATTATTCATGTGAGTAGCTGCCGTGGCAATGCGTGGCATTGAATATCTTCCAGAATAATAGAAGGGACCACGCGTATGGCACGTGGTTTGTTTACCATCAGGCCCCTACATATTTCCTATATTTTTTTATTATGTTTTTGATTTTTACAAAATACTTTTTAAATTTTAAAATTCCATAATTCAATATTGTTTAAAAAATCAAAAAAATTATTTTAAAATAAATATAATTTTGATGTATTGAATTAATTTTAGAAAAACATTTAATTTTTAATAATTTATAACATATTAACATATTTAATTATAACCGATGGTAATTTATTCGATTATCATATCAATAATACGTAACTTATACTCACATATACATTTATCGTATGTGATAAATGTTGTGTTTAATAAAAGTATTAAATATCATATATAGATTTTCATCACAAATATATGAAACTACGAAGTGATTAGAAGTCACAGGTTTGAATCGAATGAAGAATAAAAATCCTCTTGTGATCATGAATGTTCAAATACGATGACTCCGGATTATCAGGAAAGTAAATGGTCTTAATAAAAAAAATGAATTAAATTGAATAGATTAATTATTTTTATCAATTTCCACATGAAACAGGAGGTAGTAGAATAATTGAATTTCTTTTTCTTTGTTAACCAATATATTCTAGTGATGGGAAATATTATTTTATAAAAAGTTTGTTAAAATATAATTTTTTAGATAAAATTGTTTGAAAGTTAGATGAAAAGCAATTTCACAAAATTAATATTAAATAATTAAATTATATATATATATATATATATATATA